GAGGGAGATACCGTGTCATTTTAAGAGTTGGTAAGTATCAGCTGCATGTCATTCTGGTAATTATGAACCACGGTTATTTGAAGGAGTAAAAAATGCAAAAAAAGCTTGATTGAGATAAAAAAAAAAAGGGTTGTGCCTGTTTTATTGTAAGATTCGAGGAAGCATTTTCAGCCTTTTCAACTCTTTCTACAAAGCCACTGAAAGAAATTATCTTGTGGGTGCTCTTCACTGAATGCTATGTTTTCAATTTCATCCTTAAGAAATCGTCAATATAATAAACCTGCTTTTCATAGCTGTTGAATACTCACGTATCCCATTGACTTTAATTGGAGTTCTAGGTGCTCTGCACTTTTGAAAAACCAAACCCTGTGTTTGTATCCCTATCCCTAGAGCACCACGTGGATAGAAAATTTGTATCCGCATCTGATTCACAAAAATGATCTGCAGATATCTGCATCAGTGGATAGCCATGGATATCTGCAGATTTGCAGAGCTTTCGATATAAAATTTGGATCGGTTTCCATCTGCGATCTGCAAAAATGTTCCACAGATATCCGTATCCATGGATATCTGTGATACGGATATCTGTGGCTATAAAGTGGATATCCGCGGATTTGCAGGGCTCTACCTATTCCAGCTCCCTTCTGGATTATTTTCTGTGAATAGTTCTTACATGTAGGACTTTGGTTTATAAGTACAGTGCATATATTTATTTGTGTATAGCTTATCCTAACATTTATTTATTCTTTTCCAAAGGAAAAAAGGGCACAGAACAGAGCAGGATAAAAGTCAAAGCAATAATATACCTTAGATTAATAAAATCATTTAAAAAAAAGGAACATTACCTCCTCATTTTCATCATTCGTGCTCAGTGGATCAACCGATGTATTTTGCTTGTCATCATTTTTCTGTTTTTTACTACATTCCTGAAAGAGATCATAGAAATGTGTGTTATAAACCAAAAAACACTGCTCAAAAACATTTTTAACTAGGTCTATGACTTCAGATTGTGTGTTACATTTTTTCAACATGTTTATTACAATGAAAACATTGATGGGAAGTTCACCTGCTTGGCTTTTACAGCTTTGGGTGTATTTTTAACACTGGGGGCAGGGATAAGGAAAGAGAGCAGGGAGAAATGTACTGGAGTATATATGGCAACCAGTATAGCAGGGGTGGCCAGCCTGTGGCTCCGAAGCCACATGCGGCTCTCTTCAGAAGTTAATATGCGGCTCCTTGTATAGGCACCGACTCCGGCTACAGGTGCCAACTTTCCAAGGGGGGAGGGGTGCTCACTGCTCAACCCCTGGCTCTGCCACAGGCCCTGCCCCCACTCCACCGCTTCCTGCCCCCTCCCCTCAGCCTGCCGTGCCCTCGCTCCTCCCCCCCAGAGCCTCCTCCATCCCACGAAACAGCTGATCAGGAGGTGCAGGGAGGAAGGGGGAGGCGCAGCGGGGCAGCAGGCGGGTGGGAGGAGGCGCTGGGAGCGGGGAGCTGATGGGGGATTGCTGACATATTACTGTGGCTCTTTGGCAATGTACATTGGTAAATTCTGGCTCCTTCTCAGGCTCAGGTTGGCCACCCCTGCACTATAGTGTACCATAAAATTGTCACATCAAGCCATTTGAAATGTAATCAGAATATAATGAAAATTGCATAAAAGATCATGTCACACACAAAAAATCAGCATCAGTAGGTTACATTAAATGTCATTCCCATCACAACTTGCCCAGAGAAATAAATATAATTAAACCTTTCCTGGAAAAAAAAAACAGTTTATAAATTATTATATGAATGGTATCAGTAAGGTAGACTACAAGAAGCAAGCCCATTTGGAAGTATGCACTGTGTAGTGGCTATCTGTGACCTGGTAATCTATAACCAAATTCTATTACTGCACCACCGTCTCAGATATAATATATAAAAAAGTTCAAGTCACTTAACTGTGCACTGGCTGCAACTTAGCCCTGCCCTGCGGTATAAAGTTAAGCCCCTCCAGCGGCCCTGACTTGCTTTACTTATTCAAAAATGGAAACCCCTTGAAACACAAAGGATCCTCACATTATGTAACAGATCAAGCAAGTGAGTATCTGACCCGGGGGTGGAGTCAAACTACTTACTGTTTCCCCATGCATAAAGTCGTAAGAAAATAGCACTCACCTTTTTGGTACAGTTTTCACACTTCATCGGTGAGTCTTTGTATTACTTTTTGGTATGTATGTCTATTCAATGTTTAAAGGTGATTTTCTTACTACAGAAGAGTGTTGATTCTCTTTATTCTACAGGCAGAGGAAGAACGGAGGAAGCAGACGGAGGAGTTCAATGACTCTGCTTGTCAGCTCTCTGCAATAAAGGCACAAAGAGCAAGAAATTAGCCCAGCTCCCCCTTCCAATTCCTGTTGCCTTTTGTTGTTATTATTATTGGCCTACTGCCCTCTTATGGCACTCCTCCTGATTGGCACTTTCAAAAGCCATCGAGATGCCCGGGAGTGGGAGGGTCTGACTGCATAGCACCCAATTCGGTCTTCCTGTGAGTGGGAAGGACCTTTAGCTTCTTCAGACTCTATAATGGGGCGGTTTTACCAAAAATAATCATCACCCCACACGTTAGATAATTTGCTTACATTGTAATGAGCAACAAATACCGCAGAGGAAAAGCTTTTAGGAAGATCAGTGGGCTGGATGCAGGGCCTGCAACCAGCATGATTAATGGCTTTAATGTACTGTACAGAAACATTCCCTTCCCCCACCCCCTTGACATGCTTAGAATACAAATCTGTAACCCATGATTCTGATTCATGTTCATGCTGTAGATTCTGGCAGCGAATACATGTTGCTCTGGGGGTCGGTGATTTTGGTCATCCCTGTATTTTGCACAGTGGTAGCAAGCTTTGACACTACATGCAATTGGTGCGAAATGAACATGCAAAACAAGAGCGGTAAAAGGGGTCACCCCTGCACAAGTAGAAGAGACTGTATCTTGCTCTAAGAGGAGACTTGGGACACAGCTTCTCGAGGGAAAGCACAGCTCTCTTCTTAATAATGGTGGGAGTGCTCCATAGACAGTGCCGGTGTAGACGCTGTCTTGCTGGAACATCAAAAGGGGGGCGGCGGGGGGGTGGGGGGACAACAGGTTCACACCGCCGCAATGGAGGAGGAAAAACTGCTTTTGATTTGAGTCTCGTGAATGTGGTGGCGCCTCATTCTCTGCTTAAGTGTTTAATAGCCCCCCTTTTAATCACACACACAAACCTCTCTTCTCTTATCCCAGTGATTACACAAATCGCTCCGTGTGGGGCACCTTAAGCCTTGAATTCTGATCATGTGCAATGAAACGATTCATGATTCTCACTACCATCATCGATTTTTTTTTTCGCAAAGTCAGCACAAGGCTAACAATTTCCCACTGTCACAACCGCAGTACATTGCTTGGCACCCAGATGCAGAACAAAGGGGGGAAATCTAACATTTTTTATGTCTATACAAACACACAGACGTGCTATCACAAGCTGTAACAAAATAACCACCATGCAGCTAAAGGAATGAAAGAGAAGACTGAGAAAGGAAGGGAAAAGAATCAGATACTGTACCTTGCTGCTTGCTTCATTTAACCTACAGTAAATTATGTCCTGGCTGGTAGAAATTAAATAGCATGAGGTAAAGTCTGGAGCATGTTGCGGCTATTAAAGAGATCCATGTATATATTAGGGGAAAAAACTAGGCGACAAGGGTAGGGAGCCAAGCACAGGCTCCAGAAAAAGAAGCGAAGTGCTCTTCTTTTTCACCTATTATTTAATGTAAATTCTTTCTGTCCTGCTTGTGCCCTGAGCGGCTCCCCCGGCAGCCTCCACTCCCTCCCTCCCACTCAGTTAGAAGTGTTCATTGTAGACCTGAGCGCTGTCACGTAGTCCCAGGCACTTATCTGGAACTGCAAGGGACAGCGCCTCTCTGCTGCAGAGGAGGTAAAGGTAACGCCTCATTCTCACAGCTCGGCTAGGACAGAGTGGGGGCAACAGCAGCAAAGAAGCTTCAAGACTGACATTCACACGTTGCTAAAGGGCACTGCTTTGTTTATACACACTTCCCCACTCCATACAGGATGTGCTTTTCTAGCGCCTCAAAAGCAGAAACTAACGTGAAGTTCCACAGATCTCCTTGAGGTTTTTTGTGTTAAGACATTCCTATATTAATTGAGCTTTTTGTGTTGCTTTTTTTCACCATGACTATTAAAAAGAAACTATTAAAAAATATGCATCCGAAGAAGTGGGTTGTAGCCCACGAAAGCTTATGCTCTAATAAATTTGTTAGTCTCTAAGGTGCCACAAGTACTCCTGTTCTTTTATCTCAAACTATAGTACCCGGCTCTTCGAGCTCTGGTCAAGTGAAAAATTCTCTAAGTTATATCTACATTGTAGACTGACTTGCTCCAAGCCTGAAGACTGTGCCTACTGTGCATATATTGATTTCAATAAACAATAAATGAACACAACTGCACTATTTGTTTGTGTCTTCCTTGAGAGACAAATAGAAATTGCTTCTATATTTTGTTCACTTGCAATAACAAAAATTGCAGGAAAGCGGCTTTGCTCACACCCTGCAGTGAGAAGGGAAGCTGTTTGTAGGCTGTATTTGGCCCTTTTGGTGTCCCAAGCATAATTTAAAGTGCTGTTATAAATCAGAAAATAGCAAACAGTGGAAACATGTAAACTCTGTAATTATGCATAGTAGTATGGAGCCTCATCTATCCTCTGCATGACAACTGTACTCACATTCCCTTTAAGGAGACAGTTAACATTAATGGCAAGTCATTGACATACAGAGAGATTTGAATAGCTTTTCCTGCTGTTCTTGAGTTTGTTTGCATGTAATATTCAACAATTACATAAGGGCAAAACTGCATTCTTCTTTCCTTTTATTTTTTTCCCTCTGAGTTTCTCTCTAAGACAGCTCCTTCTGGATTTAGGAAGGTTATGGAAAAATCATATTACTACAGCTAAATACAATGCAAATGATAATTTCCTGTTTCTATAACTCTGTTTTTCATGATTTAGTAAGCACAGTACATGTGATTTTACATGTTTCACTTCTCTTTTGTGACCATTTACATTGTAAAGGCTAAAAAGTGACAATGACCTTGAATCTGTTTTCCTGCAGATCCCAACTGGAAGCCTCAGCTATAACGGTATTATTTACCACAAAAAGTTTTCCTTCCCAAAACAGCAGATATACCCAACTCCATGAAAAAGACTTCTACAATTTAAACTGCAGATCCTTATGCACCTGGATCACAGGTTCAGTATTTTCAGACATTAACACAAAGGTCAAATTCAATATTGGGATCTCTTTTCCATTTTATCCTTAAAAAAACAAAACAAACAAACAAAAAAAACCGTGCAGCTATGCACATCTGTGCGGGAACATAAGAATGGTCATACTGGGTCAGACCAATGGTCCATCTAGCCCAGTATCCTGTCAGTGCCAGGTACTTCAGAAGGAATGAACAGAACAGGTAATCATCAAGTGATCCATCCCCGTAGCCCATTCCCAGCTTCTGGCAAACACTTTAAGCTTACACTTAGCTTCAGAGACTGTGCATTGTGGGAAGTAGTACTTCCTTTTGTTTGTTTAAAACCTGCTGCCTCTTAATTTCATTGGGTGACCCCTGGTTCTTGTAAAAACCTAAGGTACAAATTTACAGACTAATTTTGGGTCTCTCTGTTTTTGATGTCCAAGCTGAGACATCTGTGACCCCAGACATTTATGGCCAGAGGTGCCAGTATTTGCATTTCCCATTGCCTTTATTAGGAGTCATGAATTTTTGGCACTTCTGAAAATCAAGCTAGGATGTCTCACATTGGGGGTCCTGAAATTGAGGCATCCAAAATCAGTGGCCACTTTTGAAAATGTTAAGTGAATGTTACTGTACTCATACTGCGGGACTGGCACACAGCTCAGTTTGAGGTGTTATTTTCACAGCTGTGACAGTCAGCATTTCCTATGTTTCTGCCATCTCTATCCCAGATGCTGTCACATTCTATTTTACTCTCTTAATGTCATTTTTTCCCCTACGGATATCACACTCAGTCTGCAGCTGTGAACCGTGTTTGAAGTTAGAAGTAAGTCTCTAAACATCTCAAGACTAGGAATTATTAGAGGGTGGCACTCCTCACGATATTTTCAGTTTGTGAAAGGGTTTCCTGATCCTTAGATGATAGTCTCCAAAGTTGGCACAATGATTCTTCCACAGTCAAACTAAATTATATATTTTTAAATTAAATATTTATTAACTTTTGCAGAGGAAATATTAAAGAATACTGTACTCCCATTTTTGAAATGTTTCTGTTTCCCTCATATGTCTTTGGATTCCTATAGTAAAACAGCCACAATCCACATAAAAACTGCAAGCTTCACACAAACACATTCTGATAACATCTTGGACACAGGGTACTTTTGACATTTTATAATTACACAGTTATTCCTCTACTCCAAGAACATATACATAGATTTCCCCAAGATCAGCTGATTCAACTGCTAAGAACCATCAGCTACTTTTGACTCTGCACCTGCATCTAGTGAGCTGGATGGGGGGAGGGTGGCAATCAGGCTGAGAAGAGACTATAGCAGGAGGGTGTTGCGTATGAGGGAGAGAGTGGACTCTAGGAAAGCCAACAGAGATGTGGAGGACAGGAAGAGTGAATGGATCTTAAAGAGTCAGGCTTTAGAAGGGGCAGGAGGGTTAGCAGGGATGTGCAAGGCAGGGGTGCCTGATGGAGAAATCCTGTGTCTCTGTGCTGAGGCATTAGCACTTGAAGGGATCCCCTGGCATTGATGCCTCTACTCCCTGGCACACTTAGGCTGCAGAACCATGGAGAACCTTCATGCATCAATACGCTGACCCATAAAGGTTTGGCACTCCTGGTCACTACTGCCTCAGCTCTCTGGAGCACCAGTCAGTAGCACCATGAAGGCAGAGGGTATTTGTACTAAGCCATCATCACATCAAGTGGCAAGTGCTCCTTTCAGTGCTGCTACCTTCCTGTGGAAGAAGTAGAAGCAGCAGTACCGAGTGCACCCTTTAAGTGCCAGTGCCTTCATGCAGAGGCATTGGGCTACCCCACACTGCTTGTATAGCTTTGCCCACCCTACCCCATCCACAATCTCCCAACTCCTCCATACCTAATTTCCTCTCTTGCTCCCCATTTACCCAGTCACCCCTGGGCTCTACCAGCTTCCCATTCACCCATGTCCAGCTGGAATCACATGTGAGAAAGCTTGTTAAAAGCAGCCCATACCAAACCAGCACTCTGAGTTGTCAGTAGCAGCTTTCCCCACAGGCAAGAATACTTTGAAAATTGTAAAAGGGGCAAATTTACATTTTCACCCCTCACAACTGTCAGTTGTTTCAAGAACTGAAGAAAAGAACCTATCATGGAGTATGATATTGAGCCAATGAGAAATCTTCAAGGTGCTCTAGCCCTTGAAAGTATGTCTGTTATATGAAACTGTAGAACAAACATTGCAGCATGCTCTATGCAGGCAGGAAGACAGAACACTAAATTGTGGACATGGAAGAGAATTTTACTGGGTCCAATCCTCAATGATCCCAATCCTGCACTTCTTAATGGGAATTTTGCCTGAGTAAGAAGTGCAGGAACAGGACTTATGCATGTGCATTTTCTTGATTATAAATGAATGGGGATAACGAGTTTTACAGTGCAGCATCGGTTTTATTAGTAGAATTAATTCTAACACAGTCTCATTAAACCTAGAAGAGTAGGCAGAGGGAGACTTTTTTCCTTATTTCATAGTAGGATCATTATTCAGTTCACTTTATAGACTGTCAATTAATGATTTTCTATTTAGGCTATTTCCCTTCCACAAGTGAATATTATTGTACTATGAAGATTCATAGATTCCAAGGCCAGAAGAGACTACAGTATTGTGATTATCTAGTCTAACCTCCTGTATAACATGGGCCATAGAACTTCCCAAAATAATTTGTAGAGCAGGTCTTTTAGAAAAACATCCAATCTTAATTTAAAAATTGTCAGTGATGGAGAATCCACCAAACCCCTTGGTAAATTGTTCCAATGGTTAATTATTCTCAATGTCAAAAATTTACACCATTTTTCCAGTCTGAATTAGTCTAGCTTCAACTTCTAGTCATTGGATCATGTTATACCTTTCTCTGTTAGACTGAAGAGTACATTATCAAATTTTTGTTGCTTATGTAGGTATCAATAGACTATAACCAAGTCACCCTTTAACCTTCTCTTTGTTAAATAGATTGAGCTCCTCAAGTTTATCACTATAAAGCATGTTTTCCAATCCTTTAATCATTCTTGTGTCTTTTTACCCTTTGCAATTTATCAACATCCTTCTTGAACCACCAAATCTTTTTCAGTCAATGCTTCCCAGTATAGAGTTTCCCACCCTAGAAGTCTGGTCTACATTCTTTGTTCCTAGATGTATATACATTTACATTTAGCCATATTAAAAAGCATATTATTTGCTTGTGCCCAGTTTACCAAGCAATCCAGATCACTATCAGTGACCTATCATCTTCATAATTTACCACGCCCCCAATTTTTGTGTCACCTGCAAACTTTGTCAGTGATGATTTTGTGGTTTCTTCCAAGTAATTAATACAAATGTTAAATAGTGTAAAACCAAGAGCCAGTCCACGCGGGATCCCACTGGACACACACCTGTTTGATGATGATTCTCTGTTTAGAATTACATTTTGAGACCTATCAGCTAATCAGCATTTAATCCGTTTAATGTGTGCCATGTTAATTTTGTATCGTTCTAGTTTCTTTAATCAAAACATCATATGATACCAAGTCAAACACCTTACAGAAGCCTACATATATTATATCAACACTATTACCTTTATCAACCAAACTTATACATTTAATTAAAGATATCAAGTTAGTTTAATAGGATCTATTTTCCATAAACTCATACCGATTGGTATTAATTATAGTAATATAATTAATTCCATATCAGCCACTTCATTATGTTGCCCGGGACTGATATCAGAGTGACAGGCCTATAATTACCCAGGTCATCCTGTTTACCCTTTTTAAAAATTAGCACAATATTAGCTTTCTTCCAATATTCTAGAATTTCCCTAGTGTTCCAAGACTTATTGAAAATCAACATTAATGGCCTCAGTTAGCTCTTTTAAAACTCTGCTGATTTAAAAAAGTCTAGCTTTAGTAGCTGCTATTTAAGATCTCTTGTTTGCATACATTTATTATTTTATCCTAAATTATAAGGTGTAATATTTTTTTCCTAAACAAACAAAAATTTTAGGTCAGATTTTAAGCAATAGACAGGAAGAGTAAAGAGAGATAATGGATTAAGAAATGTCTGAGGAATCAGTGTTTGTCAAAGCACATTATTAATAGTTATACTGATTTTAAAAATACTAGAGAATTATCAACCCCTAGCATTCAAAAATCATGAGTCATTCCCCCCAAAAGCCATGAGATTGGCTTTAAAATCATGAGATGTACAAAAATAATAATTTTGGGATTCTTCTTATTTGCCTTCTAGTTTTGGAGCCTTATGGTTTGCATTTTTAAGCTTTTCTACATAACCATGAGGACTAGAAACATACTTATAAAAATATATAAGATGAGATCATCACATAATATCATGACTCCAGGAGCTGGGGGTTTAAGAAAAACATGAAATATTGCAAGACATTTGATAAAATGACAAGAAGTGGCAACACTGATAAAATTTAGCATTAGTTTAAAAGTGCAAAACAAAATGTACTGTTTCTAATAAAAATTCACAAGGTATAGTAGCCTAATTTCTTTTACTGGACTAACAGAAAGTATGTTTACGTGAATATAAACCGTTGAACCAAAGATGTGCTGTTCTCTATCTCCAAATTCATGCACAAGTAGCTGTTCATATATAGACACATATATATTAACAGCAAACATAGAAAAGCAGTGTTTTTTTAGTGGTTAGCATAAGGAACTAGGAGTCAGGATTCATGGGTTCTATTCCCAGCTCTGTGACCTCCTGGGGCTTTGTTTTCCTCATCTCTTAAATAGAGATAACAATACCTACCTCCATAGGGTTGTGAAGCTCAGTCAATGCACATAAGGTACTTTGGGATGGCAGGTGCTATAAGTGTAAGCTATTATGTGGTCACCATCGGTGACACTATGGGGTCTCTTAGTCTCCTTGGTAGCTGTATAATGCATGCACCAGTGCCAGCATGTGGCCAGATGCTATGCTACAGTGACAGCTGTGGTGTGCATACTCTGACTGAACAGGGCTGCCCATAGCACAAACAATAGGAGCAGCTGTTTAGGCCCCAGCTTCCCATGCAAGCTCTGAAATTCTTGCTCTGTTACCTCCTAGGTCGGAGGATTCACTCACCAGCACATTTCTCACTGTCTCCAACCACAGCAGGTTTCAGAGTGGTAGCCGTGTTAGTCTGTATCAGCAAAAAAGGGGAGTCCTTGTGGCACCTTAGAGATTAACAAATTTATTTGGGCATAAGATTTCGTGGGCTAGAGCCCACTTCATCAGATGCATGAAGTGAAAAATACAGGAGCAGGTATAAATACATGAAAGGATGGGGGTTGCTTTACCAAGTGTGAGGTCAGTCTAACGAGATAAATCAATTAACAGCAGGATACCAAGGGAGGAAAAATAGGTCCTGGTCCACTGCCTGGATCTCACCAGCTCTGAGTCCTGCAGACTAACCTCACTCAACAAAACCATCCTCCTCCCTCCAGGAGTCTCCCTGGCTCTACAGTGTTTACCTAAGGCCTTCACTACAAGAGTGCCTCAGCCACCATCTTGGAGTTGGGTAGTAGCTGTAAGACCTTCACTTAACAGGCCATCTTGAATTTGGGCGGGAAGGAGTTAACGTAAGACGCCATCTTGGATTTGGGCAGCTGTAAGACCTTAATTTAACACGCCATTTTGGATATGGGCGGAAAGGATTTAAAGTTGGTCGCCATCTTGGATTTAGGCACCAAGCCCATACACAGAAGTTAGTGGGTATTTTCGCGGCGGGGGGGAATTACTTTTGCCCGAAGTAAAAATGGCCGCCGAAGTTCCGGCGCTATTTGCGTATCGACACTCTAGCGCGCGCTGTTCAATCTCCGCTGTGATCGCGGAGGCCGCTCGGGTCCAACGACTCTATGGTGTGGCGCCTCCCGTCCGGATTCGGGAAGTAAAGTCCGCGGCGAGTCCCGTTCGATGCGCGTCCGTGTGGGGCCGCGCTGCTGCGGGAAGGAACCGGTCAGTGACGGTGCTGCTTCCCCTCCCAGCGTGCGGGGGGATGGGAGTGAGGCGGCGGTAGGGGGTGCGGGGCTGGGATTTGCGGGGATTGTACAGAGTGGGGGGCTGGCATTTTAGGGGGCCGGAGGAGCAGGCTATGGGGGGTGAGGATGTGGATGTGGCTACATGGGAGGTGAGGTGGTGGGGAAACGCCATTGTCTGATTAATGCGTCAGAGGGGAGCTCAGTCCAAGCACATCTTTCCTTTTCGTCTTGTTGAGGCAACTGAGGCTGGGGCGAGGAGCAGGAATTAATTACCAACGGAATGTTGATAAAACGACAAGAGCTGCAGTATGGCAGGAATAATAGGATGGGGAAGGAATAATGTGGCACCCCCGCTATTTTCTAGTGAATTATAGAACAAACACAAAACCGTGAATCCTCTGCAGTGCTAGACCAAAATATTTTCCACCTAGTATCCGCAGGGAAAGATGAAGAGCTTGCTTTGGGTCACGCTGAGTTTCAGTTGACAGCTGGACATGTGCCAGGAGATGTTAGAAAGACTGGGCTAAGATTTGATTGGAGGGAGACCGATTCAGAGCAGAGAGGTAAAAAGGGCGGAATGATTCTGTATTAGCAGAAATTAAGGCAGGATCCTGACTCAGCTTTGGCTGTTTCACTGTCGGGTTCCTATGCACCTGCCGCTAGGAAGTATTTGAATCACGTCCATGGAATGTTTTCATTTAAATTTAAAAAAAAAATCATGAATATATTTCTGTTTAGGTTTTATAATTTTTTTTTTAAACTAAACTTTGTGTCTAAAGTGACCCACAGTAAAAGTATGCTTCATGCAGTATCCCAGAACAACAGGATGAGTAAGGAAGCAAGATTTGGCCATTTCTGTCTTCTCAGAACCTGGATGTGCATGAGGCTGTCTGGCTCTGTTTGCTTCGTAATGTCGATTTAAAGCACTGTTGACTGTGTTGTAAGGGATGTAGAATCCTGTAATGTAGGCAGATAACATTCACTGAAAGCCAAATTTCCGCTAACTGATGCTGCAGACGTAGGAATTGTTAGTTCAATAATGTAATAATGATACCTGTAAGGTCTGATCCTGAGAGGTGCTGAGCAGCCACAACTCCATTGAACTCAATAAGAATTGTAAGTGCTCAGGATCTCCCAGGATAAAAGAACCATATAATGCTTTCAAGCCAATGATCCCAAAGCACATTACAAATAAAAAGACTCACAACACACTTATGGGGAAGCTCAGTATTATTTTAGAGTTGGATAAATGGAAAGGTTAAGCGGCTTGCCCAAACTCTCCCAGTGACTGAGTGGCGGAGCCAGAAATACAACCCAGGAATCCTGACAGCCTCCAGCTCTAACCATTAGATGTACTGCCTCCACATGGTACTGCATTATGTCATGCCCTGTCAGCTTTGCAGTAACAGCTAAAGTTCCTTCATCTGAGAAAGGGTGAGAATGCAGTAAGTCTTTAAGGCCACTTAAAGTAAGAAAAGTGTCTGGTTTATATACTACTTGATTTGCTTGCAATTGCCTTAAGGGTTTAGTTTGTTTCACCAAATAATCATAGAACTGGAAGGGACCTAGAGAGGTCATCTAGTCCAGTCCCCTACACTCAAGGCAGGACTAAATTATCTAGACCATCCCTGACAGGTGTTTGTCCAACCTGCTCTTAAAAATCCCCAATGATGGAGATTCCACAACCTCCCTGGCCAGTTTATTCCAGTGTTTAACCACTCTGACAGGAAGTTTTTCCTAATGGCCAACCTAAACCTCCCTTGCTGCAATTTAAGCCCATTGCTTGTTGTCCTATCCTCAGGGGTTAAGAAGAAAAATTTTTCTCCCTCCTCCTTGTACTGACCTTTTATGTACGTGAAAACTGTTATCATATCCCCTCTCAGTCTTCTCTTCTCCAGACTATCAAACCCAGTTTTTTCAATCTTCCCTTATAGGTCATGTTTTCTAGACCTTTAATCATTTTTGTTGCTCTTCTCTGGACTTTCTCCAATTTGTCCACATCTTTCCTGAAATGTTGCACCCAGAACTGGACACAGTACTCCAGTTGAGGCCTAATCAGCGCAGAGCAGAGTGGAAGAATTACTTCTCATGTCTTGCTTACAATACTCCTGCTAATATATCCCAGAATGACGTTTGCTTTTTTTGCAACAGTGTTACACTGTTGACTCATATTTAGCTTGTGATCCACTATGACCCCAGATCCCTTTTCGCAGTACTTCTTTCTAGGCAGTCATTTCCTATTTTGTATGTGTGCAACTGATTATTCCTTCTTAAGTGGAGTACTTTGCATTTGTCCTTATTGAATTTCATCCTATTTACTTCAGACCATTTCTCCAGTTTGTCCAGATAATTTTGAATTTTAATCCTGTCCTCCAAAGCATTTGCAACCCCTTCCTGTTTGGTATTGTACACTCTATGCCATTATCTAAGTCATTGATGAAGATATTGAACAGAACCAGACCCAGAACCGATCCCAGCGGGACCCCACTCGTTATGACTTCCAGTATGACTGTGAACCACTGATAACTACTCTCTGTTAATGTGAGTAAAGGTAATGTGTGCAGTAGGTAGGATCATCTGTCTTCTAGATGACACTCTTGGGGAAGGCTGCACAACACTTCTCCTCTCTCTTACATTTAAGTAATACCAAGATTGTGACACAAACCAACCAAATAGAGGAAATTCACAGTTAATGCTGGTATACCATCCACAGCCTGTTCTGCTGGGCCTACTAAAAATGTTGTGGTATACATGGTATTTCATAAAAATAACGTGATCCCATCCCCCCTTCCATGGGTTGTTGCTGTGTATTCATCACCATAATGAAGAACAGTTTGAAAACATATTGTCATTTCCCCCAGTCCCTCTCCCCCCTAACTAGTTCTCCACTAGAAGAGACGTTTTAAACCTTCTGGAAAGCTATTCCCATTGTTGTCTCCTCCTCAGTGGTAATCCATCCTGACCAAATCAGTCCTGCCCTCACACACGTCCTGCTGGACCCCTAAAATAAATCCTTTACTATGCTTGTGCTGAAGTCACCATAGGTAGAACAGAGTGTTTGTTGGAAGCCGCAATTGCTCAAAGATTAAAATAATTTCTTGCCATGGTTATTTTATTTTGACAGCCAGTTTTGGAAACTCTTCTAAGGATATTGCTTATGCTAGGAATGAAGGGAACCTTAATGAAAGAATGAGACATTTCTTACAGGGTTCAAACCTTTGTTAGTCTTGTTTTGCAAGTCTCCATGGTGATTATTGTACAGTGTCATAAATGTGCATGGTATTTTACATGTAAATAGAACACCATATCCCTGCCCTGGATAGATTATAATCTAGATCAGGGATTGGCAACCTTTGGCACGCGGCACGCCAGGGTAAGCCCCTGGCGGGCTGGGCCAGTTTGTTTACCTGCCGCATCTGCAGGTTCGGCCGATCGCGGCTCCCACTGGCCGCGGTTCGCTGCTCCAGGGTGATGGGGGCTGTGGGAAGCAGCGGCCAGCACATCCCTCGGCCCACGCAGCTTCCCGCAGCCCCCATTGGCCTGGAACGGCGAACTGCAGCCAGTGGGAGCTGCGATTGATCGAACTTGCAGATGCGGCAGCTAAACAAACTGGCCCGGCCCGCCAGGGGGCTTACCCTGGCGTGCCGCGTCCCAAAGGTTGCCGATTCCTGGTCTAGATTGACATGACTGAAGATTATTAACAAATATTGGGGCATAGAAAGGAAGGACAAAGGGTACAGCAATAACTTGTAAGTTCTTACTCCTTTTCATTGTCCAGCTAGGTTTCATGAGTGTTACTAGGCTGTAGGGAATTTCTCCTGAAGATGTACATGTTGCTTGAAAACCGCACAAGTTCCATTCTGCATTTGAAGAGATCACCTGGCATCAGATCTTGGTCTCTCTTTGTTGGTAAGACACTGATGATTCTTCTCCATACATGAAGCGATGAATGAATAACTTGGACCTGCTTTTCCTAGGCTTGTATTTTTATGCCAGCCACAAATAGTGTGTATAGGACTAAATCCATTTAAATGCATGTTTTAAGGGAAGCGGGTTACAAATGTTTCCCGAGAGAAATCTCATTAAGATGACTTGTAAGATTTCTGGGAAGTATTATTTAGGAAGGTGAAATCACTTCAACTTTAGTCTCCACTGACCCTTATGGATAGCATGAAGACACAGCTGACTATCCATAAACCCTTGGGGAGAAATCCTGGGCGCGCTGAATTCAGCAGCAAAACTCCCATTTACTTAAATGGGCCCAGGATTTCACCTCTGGCATTTAGATAGCGTTTCTTGTCTACTGTGTAGACGTAAAGTATGAAGCCTCACAGCACCCCCTGCAAGTTAGATATGGTGTTTCTATCCCTCTTTTACATATGGGGAAACAGAATCAAAGAGTGGGTAAGTTGTTTGCCCAAGATTACACTGAGAGTTGGTGGTAGAACTCAGGAGATCCTGGTTCCCAATCCTATTTCCCAGTCAACTAGACCATACTGCCCTTTAATACTGTAAACACATTTTGTTAAACTGACAGCCCGGGTCCACATTATAATTGAAGTAAGGCATTCCAGTGCATGAGGTATTGTCCAACAATTTTCTTGGATATGTGACAGCAGTTGGCAACCCTTATGACACAGGTGTACCCCAATAGTGCATGCACAGGTTTCTGTTGGTCCCACAGAGCATGGTAGTTTATCTTGCAGCTAAGAATAGCCTTTTTAATATGCATGTCCTCAGTACTCAAAGTAGTGCTGTCCTTGGGTGGAAGCAAGGTTTAATGGTTAGACTTGCTGGGAGTTGGAGCACCTGGTTCTGTTCCTGATTCGGTCACTGTCTTGCTGCCTGACCTTAGGCAAGCCACTTTTTCCTATCTGTGCCTCAGTTTCCCCATTTTAAAAATAGGGTATAATTATATGAAAGAGAGAGAATTATATTTTATTTAATAAGAAATGCTTTATTTGCTCTCCACATTGAGTGATGTTAACAATCAAAAGGGACAGCAAAAATGCAATCAAAGCTAGCTCTTCTTTCAGTGAGAATTAATGGACATAACTTGGGTGTGTGTATTAAATAAAGAAATTTTTAGATATCTTCAGTTGCATGTTTAAATCATACCTGTCCCCTCTCTTTCCAGGAATATCTTCCATAGGTCTGGCTGCTGCTTACTATAGTGAAGGTAATGTTCAATTACTTTATGGAGAGTTTTATTCTTTCCTGTTGGAATTTTCTTTCACCTGATGATTTTCTCCCCTGGCTTCCACCTGATCCTCCTTAATATCTTGTACTTTTTTTTAACTAATAAAGTGCCTACCGTAAACTCTAGGAGCTGGTACAAATCTTAAAACTTAGCAGCATCCCATTGCCTTCACCAGACTTTACCCCATGCTCTTCTATTTTTCTCCCTCTTTAGTTATTTCCGCAGCTGCTTTCCAGTCTTGCTTTCCCACATCCCCAGAGTATTTATAACAGTGATACTTAGCACTCTGTAATGCTTTATGTTTCAATGCATTTTACAAAGCTTAGCTAATAGATTCTTTTAACTCCACTGGGAGTGTAGGTATTGTTAAAATTCTGCCAGCAAACTGAAGAGTGTCCCATGCCTCTGATAGAAGTACTCCTCTCTGGATGCTACTAAGTCACTCCTGCCAGAGAGAACTAATCCTAGGGGCTCATCAAAAATTTGCTCTTTAGAAGTATTTTTATCTGTTCTTTTGGGAATGGATCAGATTGCATCAAATGCCCCCCCCCCTATAAATAAATAAAAAGCTGCAGAGCATCCTATAAGCATCCCTCTTTGTTTCAAATGACACCGTTGGAACAGTGCATTATACTACCAATATAATCAGTATATTTTTCCAGGACAAAATACAGTGAAACCTATATGAGGCACCACCTGTAAAAGACAATATCCTTTCTTAAGAGACTGCCCTGGAGTCCCCCCAAACATACTGAGCCCAGTTCTGCTCCATCTTTAGTAAAAGACCTTTGTTAAGCAATTGATTGTTAGTCCCTGGAACAGTCACTTAAGACAGATTGAACTGTGTAAACACTTCCAGCATGTGACATTTTATATATGTGTTTGGCAAGATGTGCTGACTGCTTCCTTTGTTGGTCTGAAGAAAACATGTTTGTTTCAATAAATTAATATCCCCAGTCTCTCACCCTTGTTCTCTGGGTTATCACAGGCTAAGGAGGAACATGTTTATAGGAGCCCCTGGTTAAAGTATTTCAGTATCTCAAGTTCTCAGGAAAAAAAATCGTATCCACAACAGAACTATGTACAATCCTGCCAGTTTCTGTATAGCACTGATTCCAGTGTTTTTAAAATAACAACAAAAAACTTTCTACAATGGAATCACTTCTGCTTTTTTTGATCCTGGAAAAACACTATTAAAATACTATATCTTACTGTTGAAGAAGAAAACATCTGTCATGAAATGCACATGTCTTTCTTATTTTGCTCCCAGGGGGTGTGTGTGACCTTTTTTACTATCTTTTGCTTGCTATTCAAACAATGTATTTAATACTGTGTATCTTGTATTGATCAGACAGCTTGGGATGGAAACTCTTCTATATAGCTGGGTGTCTCTTTGTGGCTGCACAGAATCTGGAGGAGTGGGAGGTAAGTCATATGCTGTGAACTCAGAAGACAGGAAGTGGGTTGTGCTGGCTTAAAATATTTGTTGGCTGTCGATTTCAGCAGCCAGATGATCATTAATATTGTGTAATCCAAGTAAACAAGTTACACTGTCAGACACTGTTGAGAAATGTAGCTATATTGGTAACTTATAGTAAATGTGAACTGGGAGGGTAATTTTTATACTGATAGTACAGGAAAAATTGTTAAAGATGAATTGGCGTTTAAAGACAAGACTTGGCCAAACATATCTGTCGTATTATTGTTTTGTGTAGAATATTTTTGCAATTATAAGCTGAAATATTTGCAACATGTGATTTTTCAGCTAAGAGAACAGGAGTAGCACATGAAGTTACTAGTGAAAGCTTCCCGCACATGCTGTCCCTGCTAGTGACATGGAGGGGCCTACCAACTATAGGACAGATCTACCTCCAGTCCCACTCAACATTTCCCCACTCTCAGGAGAGTGCTATTTGTGATGTTTTAAAATGATGTTGACAACTGTCCATCAGAAATTGGACTGAGGTTACCAACTCATTTCACAAGCACTTGGAAGACTGTCATTGTACTAACCCATGCTGTACTTGAATAAATGACCCAGATGCGAAAGATGCCCTGTTCTGTTACCAGTCCCTGGAGCCATCTAATCCTGGGGATGTTTTCTTTTTAATGTAAACGTCACCATATTGTGTAAGTCAAAAACTTTGCCCAGTTCGTAGCTGTCACTGTTATTAATGAAAGGTGTAGGTAGATTTTATGTTCACTGTAGCTTGGGGGTTGTGGGACAACCACACACACACACTTAAAGAGCAAGTTTCAGTTTCTGCAAGGTGTGACATCTTGTCTTAAGGCCAGGGATAGCTTATAGTTAAAGGAAAATAAAACCACTTAAATTCTGTCCTGAAAAGAGTGTGTGAGATTCAGACAAGTCTGGGTTTGAGGGGAAGCCAAGAACAAAATTTTGACTTCATAATCCAGTAATGGGACAGGAGTGAGTATAAGTAAAACTATTAAGTTCATATTGCTATGATAACAGAAACTAACTGCTACAGGTGAGTGTTGGGCTGTTCATTTTTTTGGAGGTTGTAAATGCCACCTTCCTATTTAAAAGAAAAGGATACAATTGATGATGTGTTGCAATTTTACAGGAAGCTGTATTTGACAAGGACAAGGGAAAAGTCTTCCTTAAAACATTCAACCTTTACAAAAAAATACTGACCCTCTCAAAAGCAGGCCATGAACAAGGTAAGAAAGTAGGTGTTTCTGTAGGTACCAAATGTTACTCCTGGGGGAATTCTGCACCAAAAATTTAAAAATTCTGTGCACAATATTTTAAAATTCTGCATATTTTATTTGTCAAAATAACACAAAATAATCACACCATTTTTAATTATTTTTGGTCATTTATTTCAAAATACCTGTCAGCAAGTATGTCTGTAACAATACATACAACATAAAAGATTCAGGAAATATTTTTTGACAAATAGTTTCCTTACTAGGCATATTAATACAGAACTCTGAGTAAAAATTTGTTTAAACTACAATACAGAACCGTATTTCCCACACCCTCAGAAGCCGTGCAAAGGCTTGGGGAGAGTCAGGGGTAACGCAGGAGCTGAGGGAGAGGGAAGTAAATGCTGGGAAGGAGCTTGGGTGTGAACTTAGAGGGTTTTGGGGTATGGGTGGGAAAAGTATGGAACAGGGTTTTTTGGGATGCGGGAAGGGATTGTTAGGGAGCTTCCCCCATGCAGACCCTGGCTGACCCCTAGCCTCTCCGATTCAGTCAGGCACATCTGTCCCAATGTGTTCCTGCACCCCCGTGTGTCCTTGCACACTCTGTCCACATGTGTCCCTCCACCACCACTCTGACACCCACTCCCCCATCCCCATGTGGCCCTGTACCCCACCTATCCCTATGTGGCTCTGTACCCCCTTCCCCATGTGTCTCTGTGCCCCCAGTCAGCCACCCCCTTTCCCTATGTGTCCCTGTACCTCCTTCCCCTGTCCCCATGTGTCTCTGTGCCCCCACTCAGCTACCCTCTGTCCCTGGGTAGCTCTGCACCCCCTCCCCCATCACCATGTGGCCTTGCATCTCCCTCCCCCTGTGCCTCCACACCCATTCAGCCCCTGCCCCAGTCTGTCCTCCCCCACTAGCTCTTATGAGCCCGTCTGACACCCCCCAGCACCCCACGCTGTCTGTCTCCCCATAACCCCTGTCTCCTGAGCTGGCCTGACAAAGGCAGGCTCTTTCTCTTCCCTCGCTGGCTGGGAGCTGCTGCTGTTTTTGTGCCACAGCGCCCTGTAGTGGGCAAAAGGGGAAACTGTAGCAACATTTTGGCAGAAGCTTTTTTTTTTGTGCAAAAAAATTAAAAATGTGTGGCTTATTAGTTATGCACTCATGCAGTAGTGTAGAATTCTCCCAGAAGTAAAGTGTGAGAGTTGGGCAGAGAAGGTGGAATTATGTGCAAATCTTTTTATAAACTATTTTAGAGCTCTGCATTCAGTCAATCATTTCTATCCATTCCTAGCTCTTTGGTTTCCAGAGAGCAGATGCCACCATCATGCTAAGCTGCAAAAGCATTCTGGGTATTAAAATGCAAATGAGCATACCACATTGCTAAAGGTCTCTTATACAGTATAGACAGAGCGCACAGATTTTTTGTTTTTGTTTTTACACACTACTATAGGGCTTTCTTGGGGCATATTGACATTTGTGGCTCTATTTTACCCCGTTTTAATGTATTGAAATCTGCAGTGTGCTTTGCAAATATTGATGGTGAGAGATACTGAAATCGAGTGGTTGGAGCAGGGGAGTTGAGACTTCTAGGTTCTAATCCTAATTTGGCACTGATTCACTTTGCAGGCTTGGTTAGATCTCCTTAACCCTGTGTCTGTTTGCATCTGTCAGAAGGATAGGATATGTATCTGTCAGCGGTGTTTTGAGGCTCCATGCATGTATGTAAAGCAATTGGAGATGCTTGGGTGAAAAATGCTGTGGAAATGCAGAGTTATAGTTCTTTCAATTTTAAGCTACCATATTTATTGTGTGTATGTGTGTACAGCTACAGATGGTGTATCATTACTGGATCTTTGTTTCTGGGTACTGTTTACTGTCCATCCCTGCTTAGAAAATGCAAGACAGAAAATCCATTTAATTAATCTGCATTTCCTGAAATCAAACCCAGCTCTTAAGGGCTCTGGTCACTTCACGGCACTGAGCAGTTGCTTTCACTGGAGCTCTAGAAGCTGCTCTTGAATAGCACAAAGAGGAGGGGAAACTCGATTCACTTTGTGATGTACACATGGGAGCTGGTATTGGGGAGAGTACCAGGATGATGACAGTGTTGAAAAGCAGTACCTCAGAAGCAACCGAAGTTGTGGGTGACCTTCGTGTTATCTGGAAATTTGGTTTTGGTAACACTGTACATCAGAAATAAAAATGAGAAACTGGGACAGGATCAGTTCTCTTGCTGCCATGCTAGAGAAATAGGTGCTGTTTGAGGTCTCTTCCCTGAGTGGGATATGCAATGAAAGCAGCACGTTCAGCTTTATGTTACACGAGCATCTGGGGTTGCTTGTCAGAAGGAGGAGTCCCAAGGGAGCTTCAGCCCATCAGGGACCTGGAGGATGAGAATTAGAAATAAGTATATTCACAAACATGGTGACTGATTCTTTTTTTTTTCTCTTTTATACAGCTCTAGGCACTCAGGTACAGTGGTGAGGAGCATAGTATAAATCAATGAATGACTAGAATAGAAGTATTATCAGTGGAGAATTCCTGCTCACAGCCTCTGTCATAGCGATAGCTAACAGGCTACTCTTTTTCCTGTTGCATCATGCACCCCCCGTTGGTTTGTTACTCTGCAAGATGGTCTCTTAACCCTTGATACAGGTAGCTTCCCCCACCAGGGATAGTTTAATTCTAGATCGAGCTAAAGTAGTGCACACTGCAGCAAAAAGAAGTGTTGATTATGGTATGGCTGGGCTTGGGGAACAGCAATTAAAAAACAAATGCCCTCAGAGTATTCTGAGAATACACCATGCAAAATCCTAATGTTTTTAAAAATGTGAACTTATCCAGGAAGGCTCAGTTTAAATGTTGCATCTGGTTTCCACTGAGGTTCCTGCATCTGATTCAATTGCATAGCTGCAGACAGTAGTCAAACCCAGGTTAAGTGACTTGCTTGAGGTCACAGTGAGCCTTGGCTAAATTGGAACTAGAACCCAGGATGTTCTTGAATTCTAAACATCTGCTCTCCTTGCTTGACTAAATCAAACTGCTTCCTAATATGTTTAAATAGTTGGGAGCTTTTAGTGGCTTGAAAGCATTTAGAACCTCCTTAAATATTATGATGAAATTTCAAACAGATTTTGGGGGAGGGGGAAGGAAGGAGTGAGCGTTAATGTTCATGAACTTCCCCTTTTGTGTGTCCTGAACAATAGGCAAATGTTTTCTTGAGAGTAGGCATTTGTACCAGAAACAGAGAGGAAATGCTAATTAACATGGGGACCCAGAAGCCAGGAGATGCTCTGAAAGTGACTGATCTGAATGGTGAATTTTTCAACACCTGCTCAGTCTCAATACATTTAACAGCTGTTAACTACCTGATACAGAAAACAGTTCAAACCCTCTTTAAGGAAAGAGGGAAAAACAGCAGGAAAGCATAAGTAATAAATGGATGATTGTCAATCTTTGGGCAGCTGTACCAGTTCATTAGAGCAAACTATACCAGTTGGTGCATTCTGCTTTGCATCCAGATCCGGGTTTGTTTGCCCTCACCACAGTTGGTGGTGTTTGGGATCCCAGAACTGCGGTGTAGAGCACACCCAGCTGAGTGGGAGGAGGGCAGCAGGCCTGAAGCCTCGCACAGAGGCTCATTATTATTATTAAAGCAGAGAGAGGGAGCTTAGAGTCCCAGTCATATAAATCAGAAGTGGCAATGTTGGGAATGGCTGTAATTGATGTTCTTCCCCTGCCTTTGCTAACAGTGGCAGCTTCGCTGAATGAGATTCGAGATGTGAACGTGGAAGAGGAGAAAGTGCGTTACTTTGGGAAGGGTTACCTGGTAGTGCTACGATTTGTCACTGGATTTTCCCACCCTCTGACCCAGAGCGCAGTGATGGGCTGTAGAAGGTATGAGCTATTCTTTTCAATTATGAGTGTGTGTATAAGAGGAGTAGGTATTAACTATAGGGCCAATGGCTGGATTATAGGAGGCTGTTGGGAGAATTGTCCAAGCTCTGTTGGTAGTCTTATTTAATCTATTTTTAGGATTATTCAAGTTATGATTTTCAAACCCTTACAGATTTGAGTCACAGGCATTTGAGAATAAGAGCAACTGTGTAATGAGATCTACAATATTAGACATTCTAGGCCTCTAATAGTTGTTTTTATTACTTGTAGTTCAATCAAAAGGAAAAAAAGGCCCCTTGATTATTGCTGTTATTTATACTGATGACCCATTGTGATGGGCACTGTACAGACACATTATAAAAAGACAGTCCCTGTCCCAAATTGCTCACAGTCTTAGTATAATCAAGATTCAACAAAAAGACGAGAACACAAGTTGGCAATGAGATTTGTAAGTGTAACAAGCAGCTGTCACAGCCATTGTTGAGTGTTTTGTAGGCCTCACAGCAGAGGTGAATTTTAAGGAGAGAATAGACAGCTTCCATCTTGCTGTTTCTATGACATTATTTTAATAGTTATTCTTTTCTCTCTACAGAAGGAAACGTGTAGAGGTCACCCTACAGCTTTGATAGAAGCATGTGGTGTCTTGAGATAGGTTGAGAGTGATAATGAACGTTACAAAATGTTTAAGGGCTTTAGATAAACCATTTAAGAGTAATTGACTTAATGGAAGACATTAAAATCTTGCATCATATCTCAGTAACAATAGCTTTACCTGTATCAGATACTTCTGTGTGGCAGGAAGTGTGTTGAAAGCTAAATGGACCACCCAATTTCAAGTGCATTTATACTCCCTAAAAGTGCTGCTCCCCGTGTGTCTTCAAGTTAGAACTGTGTTTTTGCTTACCTCATTCTTTCTCCTTCTGTTAGCACTGCTGAAGTAGTGCAGCTATGAGAGAGTGAGGCAGATTATCTTCTGCCTCCTGCATAAGTACAATTATTAACTAACTGAGGAATCTTTATTACTAGTGATAAGAAGCAGAAAGAATTCCACAGGTTCTTTAGCTTGCAAGGGAATGTAAAGCAGGGGCTGTTAGAAAATATTCTGACTAGTGAATGGAAACCTCCTCTTGTCTTAAAGTCATTGGGAGAATGGTACTCATGAAGTTCCACTTTAGTCACTTTTCTGATTATAATGGCAGCTTGGAAAAGTTGCACACAGCTTATGAATCTGGACAGGCCCTATGCGAGTTGCTAATCATAGTCTTATTCCACATATTGACTGGGTCTTCAGATAGATCTGTATTCAGCATTGAGTGCTTTTGCTCTGGCTCATCAGCCCCACACCTCCATTAATTCGAACGTCGTTCATTCCTTTCCATAGTGACGTGGAAGCAGTTGCCAAGCTCATTACCGGGTTTCTGGAACTGAACAAAGTAGAGAACCATCAAGATCTGTCGCAGAGCAGTGAAACGGATGCCAGTGATGCAGACGAACCCAAGGAAGAGTATTAACCGTGATAATGAAATTAAAAAAGCTGAGCCCTCTGAATGCTTGGAAGCTGTATTGGCTGCATTGCATCTAAGAAGTCCCCTCATGATTTGGTGGCTTGGTGTCTTCCCTACGTGTGGGAATTCCTCTGCCGCGACAGCTGCAAAAGTCTGAGTTGGAGTGCCTGCTGATGCCGAATTGCTTTAAATTCCTGCACCCCCATAAACTGTTCTTCAACTGGAAGCTTCAGTATGGATTTGTTCATGCATGGCTTGCATAGAATCCAAAGCAAATACTATTTTACTTTGCCTTATAGTTTGTAGGTGTTGATAATGCTGGCTTTGGAACTTTGTCAGCGCCTCATAATTACCTAGGAAAAATGATGTACTAATGAATTGGTTTTAACTAGTTGATTGCATTCCACAGTTATCAAGGTGATAGTCGCATATTTAAACTTCTGGTTGCTGTAAATATCCATTGCAGGTACAGTGTATCTGGACTTAGGAAGACTGAATTAGTGACTTTATATTATAATGTCAGATTCTGTTACTCTTTTTTAAAGGAAAACTCCAATGTGGTACATATATTTAATTCCTGTCATTAAATTCAAAGAGTTAATCACTAAAAAAAAAAAATTGTTTTTAAGCATCTTAAAATAGTAAATAATGAAAGATAGCCACTATCTTGGCAGTTTTGATGACGCCAAGTACAGTAGGACTGAAAAAGTTACTTAGAATTAGAAACCAATAGAAATAAAAAAAAGTTTGAAAGTGCTGGTCCAGAATTTCAGATATAAAATTGGTCCATTTCATGTGTGGCTTAATTCCTCCTAGATTAGCAATAGAGGGGTGATTCTTTTTAAATAAAATATAATAGCACTTGCCTTGCAATAGCTTTGAAATGTTTTAATTTCCTGTGCTGCTGTTTTAGGGATGGGAATTGTCTTCTCCAAATAAAACAGCAGTAGGCGTGGGAGCCTCGAGTCAGGCTGTTCTACATATTTATTTTAAAAAAATCTGCTACTGCAGGGCAAGTCCACCATGTGTTTTTTTTCTTTTTTTTCTTCTTCTTCTTCAAGTGCCAGCTGCTAAAATGAAGCTTCAGCCTAGCTCTATCAATGTTCCCTATTTTAAAAGTCTTTGGCATATTAGATAAGCTCTTTGTAGCATTGGATACTCTCTGTTAAGAAGGACGGGACAGCTAGACATGTCAGTGCTTTGTGACCAAACCTTACCCCAAAATATGTTGTGATTGTTGTCCTCTTTTCTAAGATCCGTTTCCCATGTGGTAAAATATATATTTTTTGATACATGGTTCTTGCTTTTTATTTTTCATTTTTTTTAGTAGATTTTAGAAAAGCTACCTCTGCCTTGATCAGAATGTTAAATCTAGAGCTCAAACTCCATTAATTGTGTCTATTACCAAGCTGTCATTAGTGAGAAGGAAACAAAATTGAATATATTGGGCCAAAGTAACATCAACATGATAAAATTGCTTGTTTCATAATCTGCCCCTTTTTGTTTAGGAGATGCACAAAAGCATCAAGCCCTGAATATCCCAGCACTCAAACTGGGAGGTGCACTAAACAGGAAGGAGGAGGAATAAGATTAAAAATGTTAGCTTTAAACCAGATTGACGTGATATGTTCAGTATAAAGGATAAGCATTAGTAAGTTCAAATCAAATAGTTAAACCAAGGTAAAAAGGGAAGGTATTCAAGTGGTATTACTTGGTATAGATTATTTAGGAAACATGTCTTTAGCAGTTCGATCTTATAGTTACTGGAGTTTAACTTTTTAATTAGGATTACAGTCCACTACTTGATACGTGTTACTTATTAGTATTTCACAGACTGGTATTAGGGTTGATGGTGGTTTGAGTCAGCAGGAGGAGATCTGAAAGGCACACTAGGAATCAAGCCAAACTAGATGCTGACATTCTTGGCAGTAAGTGTTATGGCAGCAATCTCTGAGGATGTTGCATATCTGTGCCTGCATTTCTGTTTTGCGGCTTCTTTCCAATTTTAGGGAATAGAGGCAGGCGGGGTGGGTGGGCTGGTGGAGCAAGCCAAGGAGAGGTTATTTATCTTACAGGAACTTGAGTTCTTTGAGATATTTTGTCCCTATGGGTGCTCCACTATAGGATCCATGTGCACCTGAGCACTCTTGACCACAGAATGCAAAGCAGTTTCCACAGGCCCATGCCTGTGCTGAGCAGCACCTTGTGCTCCAAACAAGGGCTTATAAAGGGCACGGACCCGCTGCCTTTCAGTTCCTTCTTAATCGCAAAGCAGAGCCTCCACAACTGAGGGGAAGGAGGGTGGGAGGTGGGGCACCCCTAGGGACAAAACATCTTGAAGAACTCAAGTTACTGTAAGGTAAGTAACCTCTCCTCCTTTGAGTACATGTTCCTGTGGGTGCTCTGCCATAGGAGATTCCCAAGTAGTACCTCAATGAGGAGGTGGGTGCTGAGGAAACAAGTCCAAGCTGGTTTGGGGGGACTGCATCACCACAGGTGGTATCATCCCAAGCAGGTAGGATGGCATAATGCTTGGCAAAGGTGTGAATGGAAGACCAAGGTGCAGTCCTACAGACTTCTGTTAGGGGAACGACTTTCAGTGGAACTAGAAATGTGGATCGAGCTCTGGTGGAGAATGCTGAAGCTCTGAGGGGCCTGTATCCCAGCAGGTTCGTAACAGGTTAAAATGCAACCTGAAACCCACTTCAGCAGTCTTTGAGTGGAAGTAGGTTGTCCTTTCATCCTTTCTGCAAATGATACAAACAATCTGGGAGGAGGCCTGGAAGGTCTTAGTCCCTGTCAAGGTAGAAGGCAAGAGCTCTTCTGACATTTAGTGTGTGTAGGCTGCTTTCCTCTCTGGAGGCATGGGGCTTTGGGTAGAACACTGGTAGATTGACCTTTTAATTAATATAGTATTCCGAAGAAACTTTAGGGAGGAATCGAGGATGGGGATGCAATGTAACCTTATCTCTATGGAAGGTAGTAAATAGTTGGTCTGCCAGGAGAAGACTCTCCCATTCATCTAACTGAAGTGATGGCTATCAGGAATGAGGTTTTGAGGGAGAGGTGGAGGAGAGAACAGCTAGCCTTTGGTCCAAAGGGTGGTTTCTTCAGGGCTTTGAGAATCGAATTAAGGTCCCATGGTGGGTTAGGGCAGCTGGGTTCCATATGGGGGGAACAAGTTGTATAAGCCCTTAAGGAATCTGACTGTAGTAGGGTGGGCAAAGACTGAGAACTAAGAATGTCACAAACTTATCCAGAGCCATGGATTGACTGAAGTTTTGTCATGATGCTGCAGTAGGATGCGTACTGGAACACTGCCTCTGAGCGAGAATCAGATGGCCATAACGGAAGGAGATAAAGTGATGAGTGAATGGAAGGCTGCTGTGATGGATTGGAGCCCTTGGGAAGTCACCTGATGTGCTGGGATGCTACTGAGGCAGACTATTTTGCCAGCCTGGGCCCCTTTTACCTGGTCTTGCTGGGCTAGGCTCCCCAGCCTTTTCCAGGCACACAAGCAGGGCCATACCCAGCTGCACAGAGAGACAGATCTGCTCTGAGAAGGCTCAGCTTAAGGGGCTTGCTACAACACCCAGATGTCCACCCCACCTTGGAGTACAAACCCAAAATTACCTGAAATTCGCCTCTTCACTCAATGTGGAGGAGGGTATGCACAACTTCTGCCCCTGGCCCCCCCCTTTAGAAATCACACAAACTGGGTTATATTGTAAACCAGATTGGTACCAAGGTAGACAGCTCCCTGTGCTGTCTCTTAGAAGCCTTCTCTGCATGCTGCTGCTTGTGTGGTACTGGTGGGTCGGTACCGGAATCAGATGGAGCCTCAGCTGTACCCCTTAAGGAATGAGAAGTCTCCGAGTGGGATTTAGGGGGTGACCCATCTCTCTTGTTTTCCCTGATAGGGGAAAGAGGCTTCTTTTTCTTAGCTGTCCTAGCCTCTGAAGGTGCTGCTGCAGCTGCAGTAGCCACTGGAGCAGCCTGGAATGCTGAGGCCAATGTACAGGGTGGTAAGCAGACCTCACTAGCGCTAGTGAGCGTCATTAGAAGGAGCTTCAGTCTAACCTCTGTCTCTTTCTAGGACCTGCCTTTAAATCCCATACTGACCTTACACTTTGACAAGACGTACTGTCTCTGACACAGCTTGAATGCCCATCACTATGGGGAAAAGACCTATAATGGGTCTGGCAGGGCTTAAACTCTGGGGTCTGCAGCATAATCTGGAGGGCTAAAGGACCAAAACCAGCAGTTTTAAAGGGAAAAGGGGAGGGGGGCAGAGAGTAGCTGCCCCATCCAAACACAACTGTGCTAAAATTAAAGTAAAAAGATAAAATAACTAAACAAGAAAAAAAAAAACCACCACCACTAAGAGTAAATTGCTATGTTAAGAAAAGGCATGAAGAAAGTCCACCTAGAGTTGCAGGCAGTTGAGAAGGAACTGAATGGCAGTGGGTCTGTGCCATCTTGTATGCCCTCTTGGGAAGCATGAGAGGCTGCTCTGTGCAGGCATGGGCCTGCAGACAGTGCTTTGCATAATCTGGTCTAGAGCGCATGGGCATGTGGCACATCCTATGGTACAGCACCAATAGGGGGACACACTCAAAGAAGAACAAGTGGTTTCAGTGGGAGATTGACTAAGAGTTTGATTCTGTAAAATTTTGAGCATGCTGGCTCCAGTCCAGCAAAGCATGCAAGAACATGCTTATCTTTAACTCCAAGGGACAGACAGGACTAAGATTTGAACCTCTGCCTTTTATGCCCAACCCTATGGGTCCAGTGGGTGAGCAGGCATGAGATGGGGAAGTCAGTCATGGTCTTACTGCTGACTTCAAGGGTGAATTAAACCAGTGGTTCTCAACCAGGGGTACATGTATCCCTGGAGGTACACAGAGGTCCTTCAGGGGGTAGAATCATAGAATATCAGGGTTGGAAGGGACCTCAGGAGGTCATCTAGTCCAACGCCCTGCTCAAAGCAGGACCAATTCCCAACTAAATCATCCCAGCCAGGGCTTTGTCAAGCCGGGCCTTAAAAACCTCCAAGGAAGGAGATTCCACCATCTCCCTAGGTAAACCATTCCAGTGCTTCACCACCCTCCTAGTGAAATAGTGTTTCCTAATATCCAACCTAGACCTCCCCCATTGCAACTTGAGACCATTGCTCCTTGTTCTGTCATATGCCACCACTGAGAACAGCCGAGCTCCATCCGCTTTGGAACCCCTCTTCAGGTAGTTGAAAGCAGCTATCAAATCCCCCCTCATTCTTCTCTGCTGGAGACTAAACAATCCCAGTTCCCTCAGCCTCTCCTCATAAGTCATGTGCTCCAGACCCCTAATCATTTTTGTTGCCCTCCGCTGGACTCTTTCCAATTTTTCCACATCCTTCTTGTAGTGTAGGGCCCAAAACTGGACACAGTACTCCAGATGAGGCCTCACCAATGTCGAATAAAGGGGAACGATCACGTCCCTCGATCTGCTGGTAATGCCCCTATACAGATCAAAATGCCGTTAGCCTTCTTGGCAACAAGAGCACACTGTTGACTCATATCCAGCTTCTCGTCCACTGTGACCCCTAGGTCCTTTTCTGCAGAACTGCTACCTAGCCATTCGGTCCCTAGTCTGTAGCAGTGCATAGGAT